ATATAGCTGATTAATATTTTGCACACGCAAAACTAGAGTGAACACATTTTTAACAAGATTCTACTGAGCTTGTTATTGATACTAAAATTGTAACCAATCATTTCTTTTTATTGGTTCAAGTGCATGTGCAGTAATCTAAAAGAAGATATAGCAACAAGTAGACTAAAGATTAATAGATAAACCTGAACATTAAAAAGATTCTTGGATTGTCCTCAGGGACCCAGGTCTGATCTTCTGTTGTTTGCTCTGCAAGTGAGATTATGCCTGAGTTCCCAAGGATGCTGGAAAAAAAAGAAATATAACTAAGAGGGAAGATTATAAGCTTGAAAATTTCTAAATGGCAAGGTTTAAAAAAATAACCAGGTTTTATCAAATTTGTTTTCAGCAATGCTAGTCTATCCATATTTGTTTATGCTTAGTTAGCCAAAATTTCAATCCTTTGCTCCTTAATTTGATGACTCAAACATTTGCATTTCTGCTCATTGGCATCCTATCTTTTTTGTCATATAAATGTTTCATGCGAATTCGCTCTAATATTTAAAAAATGATTTGTATGGAAACTTAGAGCCCCGCCAATAAGTGAAGCGGTTTCTTTTATTTGGTCTGTTTGCACAGTCTTCCTCTTCTTGAAAAAGACAGGTAGCCCAATGGGGAATGGAAGGGAAACACGATATATTATGCTAGAGAACTATTGGATTGAGTTCTTGGGATTTTGAACCTGATTATGTACTGTGTTCAAATTATTTACTAATTTTTGGATTAAAGAAATTCAAAAGATTTTTTTAGAGAATAGTTATCAGGGAAAATATTTTTTTGCATCTTGAGAAGATCATCACAAATCCATTTTAAACGGTCTTGATTACTTAATTTTTTGTGGTTTTCATCATAAGAAATAATATTGAACTACATGATTTGCTCAGAATGAATCACTTTTCAAATACTAAGTGCAATTTATTCTACAAAAATTGGTTTTTTGATTATTTTGCTGTTGTACTTCAAAACAATATTTCAAATAGAAATTACCCTAGGAGCAATAGGATGGATTTACTCTTTCTTGCAGTTTATTTACGGCGTGAAGCTCGGTTCTCTGCATCAAGGACAGCACTTCGCGCCTTCAATAAACTATAAGAAAGAGTAAATCCCATATCTAGTTCCCATAGTAAACAATGTATTTTGAGCTAAAAAAAATAAGACCTTGACTTTCTGATTAAAYATTAATATATCCTCTTTTTAGTATTTGTTATTTATTGTCTGAAAGTATAATTTTTTTGTTGCTCCCTAGGGGCTTTTTAGTCTGAATATGAAACTAGTTGAAAGTACCACTTGAATGTATAATTTGACAGTAATTGAATTTTTAATTAAAATCTTCCACCTGATTTGAATCGCTAGGGTATCTTCTTTTGACAAAATAGTATTTGAACTAGATCCAGGTTTCTTATCCAGACTAAACTAAACTAAGACTAAACCAGTTGATAAAGAACAAAAGATAAAAATCTTTGAGTGCAAAGTCCACTTTGYGGAAACCCTTAATTCTTGTTTGCTTGAAGGAAAACAACCCTCTTTGAACAGAAACTAAACTTCATAAACACATTTGGCAGATGATGTTTCATTGTTCTTGGCCTCTATTGTGTCTAATATAAGTACATCTTTATGATTATCTCCTCATGGGTATCAAAACTCAGTGGGGGGAATAGCTGAAAGTGTAAATTATATCATAAGTATTTTTCCCACAAGAAAGGACAATGTTTTGAAATCGTTTTGATCATTTTCAATTTAAATTTGGAGATGATGTAGATTCTGAACACAGTCAAATTAGCACAACTAAAAATATTAGACTTATAAAATTTTTAGCTCATTTTGTCAAAATTACATAATTCAAAGAATATATGAATGAAAGCTTTTTTGAAAAATCAGGGTTACACAGTACTTGCGAAAACGTTGTCATAAGAAATAGGACATTTGTATTTTAGTAAATCACTGAGGCTGAACGCTTTCTTTTGTCTTGTTTTAATTCATTCCTTTTTACTAAATTCAAATGTTCTATTTTCTATGACAACGTTTCTGCAAGAAGGTGTGTGCCATGGTGTTTTTTTCACACTTGATCATTTTTTTATTTTCTTTGAAAAAAATTTCATCACTGATTCCCCCAACGACTTATGAAGACTGTTTTTGGTGGATATAAAAAGTGAGGGCGTCAACTCCCATCATGCTTTGCTGCACAAAATTCTGTCCCTGTACGTTGCCTATCAAAGAAAATAATCTTATGTCCGCATTTTTTCTCAAGAGCACTGAAAAGCCGGTTACTGTGGTTTACACGCGTAGCATTTTTGATATGTTACATAGTATTTCCCGAGGGCTGGGCCGTGGCCGTGGTTTCAATCTACTGGTGAATTAGTCTAATAAGTGCTGTTACCTWAGGCAGAATTGTTATCATCAAAGATTCGCTTGATTTATTATTTATTTATAGTTCGCTCCAGAAAAAAGCAACACTTTTTAGTCTCCTTTAATATTTAATTTCATGGTACTCCTGATATCACATCGMAAAAGATTTTGATTACTGATATGATTTACTTTATTTTTATGGGAGATGTTGATACATATGCAATTTTGTGTAGGATTTTAAGCAGTAGAGTTTCAGATCGCTAATAATATTGAATATTTTTATTCATTTGCTTTTTTCGTTGTTGTTGCTGTTTTGGATTTGGCTTAATTTATTGTTATTTAATGATTATTTTTATTTATATTAAAGTCAATTGAAGAAATTCTTGCCTCTCAACTTATGTTAGATCTATCAATGTATAGTGTTGTTGATATATTTCAAACCTAATTCCTTAACTTTTGTTATAAAACTGCAAATCGTACGTGAATAATCTTTGATAAATATAATTTCATAGTATTTTAATGATTTGCGATCTGTTTTAGCGAGAAAAGAGCTAAAATCGATACCCATGATGCTCCCGGTGATATTTAAATCGCGTTTACGGCGAAACTGATCATGTGATCACTGTTTTTCTGTATTAACGCTCCGTTTTTTCGCGATTGAGTATAAAATAGATCACTCTTTCGTACATAAGCGAAACACTATTCCTTTAGAAGCGTTTTTACGTTTGTTTGAAATTTTGAAATAAAGCACAAAATCCAATTTGACGTTTGGCGTTGCAGTAAACGCGAATCTAAAACTCTCTAATTCTAAAGACCACGAGAGGCCTAACTTCTTCATCGGAATATCAACCGAATTATAGGACAATGTTGAAAAAGACAATAAAAAGCAATTTTTCACAACATTTTTTCGACTATTTTCAGGCTCATTTGATGCGACCATAGAAGGAGATACCGTAGTTCGGTAGCCAATCAGAGCATTGCCAGTTTTGCGATAGCCCATAATTTGGAGGATACTAAAATAATCTATSTCTGCGGTCAGAATTTTTGCAAAATATTTTGTTGTAACTAGGGGTCACACGATGACGGGAATTGTATTGCATCTGCAATTTTGTTTTGTTACCATTTCGGCTCTCGTCCACACTCGTCCACACTCGTCCAACCAGATCCAGAAATTTTCCGAAAAAGCAGTGGTTCCCATTCTCTCTTAGCAGAGTCTCTTGTTGTAGTTTCAGACGAGTAATTGAGCAACGAGAGAGAGATTCTAGCAGAGAATGGTTCCCATAGAGATTTTTATCCAATCAGACTTTAGGATTTTATTAAACCGCRTGTTATGATTTAATTTTATAACTTAGTTTTCATCCAAGTAAAGTAGAAGTGTTTTTACCTGGTGAATTCAGTCGGATTACGTAAATTGTATATTTATATACATGACATATTTCAATTATATCACTCCGCTTGTTTGTTTTTGTTTTTTTTTACATGAGAATTGAAGATAAACAAAATAGATACTTCCAAAGCAAATAATACTTTGAAATATCCCCATTATAAAGTAAAGAAAAAACTAGGAAATATAAAAAGATATATATTTAGAACATTTTCCACTTAAGACAGCAGAACTTGGTGACGAATGATATCGGTGACGGATTCGTGACTGAGATTTACTCAAAAACGTTCAATATAATCATTGCTATTATTCTAGTTTTTTTGTATGTAAATAAAAGGTATTTTAAGAGAAACAACTATGATAATATMTCCAGTTACAAAGTAAAGAGAAAGCTAGAAATATATTATTAACAAGAAAGTCATTTGAAAACATTTTCAACCGGAGATCCTCGTTAATGATTCTCGTGTATTCTATGATAACTCACAGTTGAAAACGTTTTACATAATTTTTTTAAAATCTTTCTAGTTTTTTATTTATGTTATTATTGAAATTATTTGAGAAGCAAGTGCATGAACAAATAGTACTTTTATTGGGTCATTGTCAAACATAGCCGCCGAACGCTCTGAACCTAGTACTGAATMAAGCCGGTCAGCGTCGACAGCTCGTTTAGCGAAACCTAGAGTAGCAACTCGTAATCTTTCCATTAATGCAAGGCTATGCCTTTTACATTAATTGCAATCTCTTTGCAAAACTCATGAATTAGTTAAAACCTTTTTCAGATTCGCGATAGCATTATTCCGTTCAACAATTACAACTCGGGGCTGGAGACAGGTGCCTTATTGATTGATAGAATATAGGGGGGCTATGTAATCTGCCATACGATGATCACTGTTCAGATTGTACTCAGAAACAATGATATTTTTGAAAGTTATACTGATGGACAAAAACAAAACAAAAAAAAAACAAAAAAAAAAGCAGGGCCAAGGGTTTTTTTGTAGGCCAAATTCACATGAATTAGTTTTTCACGCAAACAAATTTCTTTTAACATAAGCTGTTGTTTTATTTCCAGCTAAAAACCTTTTCCGAAACCGCTTAAAAGTTTAATTCACATGGAGTTAAATTATTTGTGGCTCAAGGAAACCTATGTTTGATTTGCTTTGTGATGAGATTTTTGAATTTTTTAATGTCTGTGACTGTTTTAAATTCTAATCCGAACTTYCAGCTGAACTATCCATTTTTAACTTTATCTGTATACGAAATATGATATCTCAAAAACCGATACTTTATTTTCATTAMGAAAATGCCCCGAAAATTATTCTTAATTGATCATGTAAACAATACTGCGGTCTTCAATGCAAATCCGCTGAGTTTCGGACTTAACAACAGCTTGATGACACAAGAAGTACTCTTTCAAACGACAGAAAAATGTCAACTTTCCATTCACCATTATGATAAGTMCAGTCTTTATCTGAAAATCTATCATGTGGATGTATTTCCGTAGGGTAGCAAAGTGTGTTTGCGGTGGAAGATTGCACAGGTTTGTTTTTATATTTCCCCGCGTWTRACCATTGCGTTACTTAGCAACTTAACGCGAACCCAGACGTSCCAATGGTAWTGAGAATTTATAATATCATCACTTGTCCCTCAATCAAAATGCTCGAATTCAACTACAAATACTACAATTTTTAAGAAGGAAGTTGTATAAAAAGATTAAATTACATCTGATATAGAACGCCAAGATGTGAAGTCTCTTTCACGTTTGAAGACGTGTATTTTTTTGCTAATGTTTGGAATTGATTGAAATGCAAATTCCTCCAAAATTGTTTCCATATACTCGTGTTATTGGCTGTCTGATTAACATAAACGTTTAGGAACATGTGATATATAATTCAAACTTTGAGTTGTCGAACTTAGAGCGCTTCGAATGGGAAAGAAGCAATGTCACCTCAAGAAAATAGTAGCAAATTATCCAAAAAACTAATTTAAAAGAAATCGCTCAAAATGCCGACTCCAGTTTGCAATGTATCGAGCGACATAGACTGTAGGAAAGACTGCCTTCCTGTGACTAGAAAATGGTGGTACTTCATCGTCACAAGTTTTTCCTTGTTCTTTTCTGGGCTTATAGTGATATATTTGACAAGATTATTARTTCGGATTTGCAATTCGAAGAARGGTAAACTCGTTCCAACTGACAGAGTCYTAAAGAAGACCAGCGGCGGGGATAATCAGGACGATGAAACAASCTTCTACGCTCGTATACGGGAGAGCGCTGGGACATTACTAACTGCGCAGACCTTCAAAGGCCAATGTTTTGTAAGTACTGCAAGTTTAACACTTCCAGCCTTTCAATTCATTTTTTAAATCTAGATAACAGAAAAAAAAAATTGACGGCGGCTAAATTGGAATTRTATAATTGTGAAAGCCATTCGAGTGTCAAAATAGTTACAATCGCGCTGCGGCGTATCCGAAAATCAGCGACCATGGCAATTTACTTTTCTCATTTTCAGGAAATGGATACTTGTAGCTTATCATGTTAAGATCTCGTTGTTGACGAGGAGTGATTATTGTAGAATTTGGCAGCTTGTTCACACAATTGTTGTGAGACCTAGTAGTAAAACACGAAAACACGATAACGTTTCTCCCTTTGTCACTCAACTTTAATTGCCTGCAATATCCCAATAATTATGCAGTTCAACATGGCAGACGACATATTTGAAAACAGGTCTTGATCCATATATGCACTTGAGGAAGAACTCTTTTTTTAGTTATATAATTTTCTCTAGCTGAGATCCCGTTTACGATATTTTTGACCTTTTAATAGTATCTTGACCATAATATAAGACTTCGGAAGGCGCTAATTAGTTGTGAATATCGCTCACTACAAGTATACATCTCACAAATAATTCAGCAAATTTTATTTGTAATTTTTCGGGTTTTTTTTAATTTCTTTTAAAAGTAAACCCGGATCCCGATCATGCTATGATGGCCTCCCGAGATTTAAAATTCATGTTCTTTATTCGCAGCATTACGAGGCACATCATTAATTCCATTTCAAAGAAAACTCTTTGACGTTATTGTTATTTGAAATAACGTTGCTATAATAAACAAAAACCAAATATAAATACTTTAAAAACAAATATTTTGCAAATGGTCGATAGTTTCCGCGCCGTTTAGACGAGTAATATTTAAGTGGATGATTTTGGGGATTATTTTAATCTACTTGTAACTGTTTCCACGTTGCTAACTCGATAGTGTTGAACTGTTTTAAGTCCGGACGCAACCCTGGACACGGAAGCGAGTACAGGTCTCGACGGAAAGCTTCAAACTTATGATAATAAACTACATTTGAAGCACACTTAATTATGGTATTTTTCATGTTTCAAAGGAGATCACGGGRGACCTTAAATAATTGATAACTCTGTCCGTCGAGGTGTTCCAATGACAGAGGCAAATGAATTTGTTTGTCAGTGTGGGCAAATATTTCGTCACCATTAAACATAGCAGTATATTTTAGTATTTAGTGCATTCAAGAGACGTGAGATTCCAAAGTTTCAAGGTGTTATTATTGTTTTTTTTATTTTTGTATATATTTGACTACARGAAATTTGAACGTGTAAAAAATTAGTTATTTGCTCCCATATTTTATGATAAAATATATAGAAAAAGATTTCAACTGRAAGCCTGTTAAAGTTTTCTGTGTTTTCTTTCTAAATACCCTCCCTAACTGGTAATCTATTTTTACCTTAAAATATTGGTAGAAATTTCCTTATACTGCTTTTGCAAAGATGACAGTATTATTTATTTTGATAGGCGTTTTCCTAACACTAACCTTAAGGGCAATTTTAAATGGGAATTCCTAAATAGTGGAAAATCAAATGCAATTCCACAATTCAGGTCTGCAAAGAACGAGAATATTGCTAGCTTTTTTTTAAAAAAAAAAATATATATATATATATAGGTCGCGATGCTTAGATTGCAGGCGTTCCCAGCTATTAGTCAGTTATTCATTCTACGACACCTTTATTTTTAGAAAATTCTTTAAACTTAATTTCCAGTTTCAGAATCATAGCCAAATGGGTGAAAAAGAGAAAGAAAAGTCATTCTTAGCTGATAAGATCGCTACTCATGTCATCAGTTGATTTAATAAAACYTYMWTTTYYWRAWWAWTKTYMRRAAMYTTTTTTTYYTTWAWTTYMMCMA